TKRAARKTKRAAMMRRAWTTWAAAAAAAAWYMAAMMAAAAAATATTTWAACTATAATCAAATCTATAAAACTATAGAAATTAATTTATATTCATAGAAGTACACAACCATAGTTTTAACAAACCTGTAACAAACTGTTCCATTTCGAAGAGCTGCTACTTTTTTATTAGATATAGGATCTGTAACATCACCTAGAGGATAYACCACTTTGAGTACTTGATGAGTAATGTGAGTTGTTAGTTTTTCTGGTAATTCTTGGATGAGCACTACATCACCTGTCTTACACTGTTTTTCTGGATCATGAGCATAATAAACTTCATCTTTATGAAAATACTATAAATAAATCAATAATATATTATTTATGAAAAATAAAATTATTATATGACTCACCATTAATAAGTTCTGGTCTAATTCTAATTTCTTAACAATAATTTTTGATGCATTTTGTTTAACTGACGGAGCACACCGGCCCAAAAGCAGTAAAGATCTACTTGCTCCAACTAAGCTCATAACTGTATTTTTGTTATTAACTTTACTTTAAATCAATAATGTTTAAACAGAAATGCAAAAAGAAGGCTCAAATCTCAATATGACTACAACTTACAAATGCATGAAAATATTAAATTATTAACAGAACATAACATGCCGAAACGTCCTATCACAGAATATATTATGAAATAATATATTTCATATATTCTGTGGTCCTATCTCAAAAATATTAATGTAGATAAGAATATGATAAATATTTTTCTGTTATTACCACGGCTACAATCATAGAGTAATAGTTCTATGGTAATACACATCTTTAATGGTGGTTATTACCCAAGCTTATCTATAAACCTTGGTTATTATCTTAGATCAAGGTTATTATCATGGCTGTCCACTGAAGATAATACTGAATACTGATAWYTTGAATCAGAATGTGAAATTTAAAAATAGTAAAAATCTAAAATTTCTTAATTTTATTTTTTATATTAATCAGTGACTTCTAAAAAAAATAGTTCATGCCTTTGTGCCATAGTTAAGCTATAGTATGACTTATGACTGTTATGAGTAATAAGTATTGGTTTATTGTGAGTTATGAATTTACTAGTATAATTTCCTGTTATTATATTGTATTGAATAACCGATAACAACATCATAATAAAATCACAGAATAGATTAAATTAATTAGTTGTTGATCTTGATACAAGTGATACAACTGCTTAAGGTTTGTAGGTGTACACATTTTTATATGAATAGGACTAATAATTACTCTTATAAAAACAAATTAACCTATTTAAGTAATAATGCATTTTAAAATCCAAGATTCAAGGCATAAAAATTTGTTAGTGTGTTCCTAATGAAAAATTTTAATTAAATTTTTATTCATTCAAGTTTTAAAAATGCAATCTGTTTCACTGATTTACAATTATCATAGATAATTTAACAATTCATAGTAAAACTATATAAAGTATGGAATCTTATTATGTTTAAAACAGAAAATTATATTATGATATAACATATTAACTACTTTGTTGATTTAGATCATTTTCAAAGTGCTACAGCAGTCTTWAAAAAAAAGAAGCCCGTTTGTATAAAACAAAAACTATGTTCTCAGTATGTACAAAGTCTCACAATTCTTTAAAGAATTTTACAATTTTTAAAAGTAAAGTTCAAATTATTACCCAAAATAAAACATACTCTACAGTACCATACATACAAGGACAATCACCAGAGTACAAAATAAGAGAGTATTTCTATTATATAGATCACCAAGGAATGGTTGGTAGATTGCTTTATATTTGCAGAAAAATGTAAAAAATGTTTAATAGGAAATGTTTACAACTATACAACATAGTTAAGCCTTAAAAACAATGTTATTTAATTTCAAACCCTTATTGAAACTTACATTTAGAACTTTCCTTGCAATTTTTAAACCAATACCGATGAATTTATTTATTACTAAATTAAAGTAAATATTTTTTTTTTTAACTTGTTATATGYATTATTCACATAATTCTATAACCTTTGGAAGAAATAGTTATATTTATTAAAATATAAGTCATCTTAAAACGTCTTATTAAACATTTAATACTTACATTTTTCATAATGCTTAATTTAAATATAATATACTGAACAACTATTAAATTATATGTAATTTTTAGCTTTTTTTAGATGATAGCAAAATGAAAAATTTTACATCAGCTTATAAAGGTAAAACATTTTGTTGTAAATGTATACTAAATGTTTTGTGTTAAAAATTAAACTTTTTTATTTTTTACAAAATTTCAAGATTTGCTTTAAGATATTACCTTAAATAAAATATTTTTTTTTCAGAAATAGATTTTTTGTTTTTTTTTTTCAAACGATTAAAATTAAACACTACTGATCGATATAAGGAACACTTTCCATGGATATCATTATGTGGTAGAGAACGGAATTTCGTTAGATGTGACGATTATCCAATTGTGTTCAATCAGGTAATCAAAAGTACCGATGGCAGTCTATTATTTTGTCATAACCATGCTGGTCCAAAGTTGACTGTGTTATTTCAACCTGATAAACTTTGGATGGATGTTGAAAATGGTAGAGTATACCATCCAGCCTCTGAACAACATGGCTCAATAGGACTCGTATCATCTAGAACAGCTATTGAATTTAGTAAAATGTTTAAATACAGTGATACAGACAATTATGTACCAACACATTTTTTATGGGCTGATAAAGAGTATGTTCTAGACCATGATTGGTTTAAACCCTTGATCYGTAAATGAGCAAAATTCGAATTTCTGTATGAATAGTGTTAATTTAAAATAATATATATGTCAAAAATGAAATTGTTTACATAATTAAAGTTGACAAGTGCATTCTGTTATTTGATTTTTATACTTTTTTTCTGCAATTAAAACTAGTTTAAGGAGGCTAGAGCAGGTACAAATAAAAAGTAAAACGGCCAAAAAGCTATCAAAATTGTATGGCAGAATTTTCAAAATTAAAATCTATCAAATCYAAATCTCTCAATTTTATATAGCTTATCAGCATTTTTGTCATCTGAAGAGCATGACACATTTGATAAAATCTGTATTATTGATATTATATTATGTGCCTGCACATGCAGAAATTTGTATGTAATTAGTGTGCCGTCAATAAGTACTCTTGTAAGATATATTGTACATAGTACAGTACCAAATATAACTCGATAATAAATTTTACAAAATTACACACACTTACATTAATTTACTTCTCTTACAGATCAAATATAAATTCTATATGAAATGTCTAACTACTTCTTTATAACATGCAACACTCCAGCCCACTTAAGAAATGTTGGATTACAGTGAAAATAATGCCTGTGTCCAAATTTACCTAATAATTGTTTTTTATTTTTTTTTTTTGTATTAGGCTCAATATTTTACTGAAGATAAAAAATATACTCTTAGTTTTGATTTTTCAAAAGTATTTTTCATCAGACTTATGGAATTGCTGAATMTTTTACAGAATACTTAATATTATAGATTTGTGGTATAACTTATTAAAAACATTATCATTACAGCAATTTTCATAAGGAAAATAAAAGTTTGTATAATTTTAGAAAATGTCTACACTTCTGCYGAGAGTTGAAGTTTGATTTCGCTTAAATAATTTTTTACTTTTTGAAATGCTTCCTTTATGTCTTCATTTTCCATAAGATCTTTTTCTTTCTGCAAAATAAAAGACATTTAAAAAAAAATTAAATGTATGAAAAAACAATTTTAAATACTAACTTCAATTTGTGAGACCACCGACACTAGCATTATCTTTGCAGATGATAGAAACCGTTTTTTTTGGTCATGGTTTTCTGTTTTGTTACTACAACTAATGTATGCTGCAAAGTAGAAAAGCAGAGTTAGTGTAAGTAGCTCAGCTGTACAGTAGGTTACAAGTGTCAGTGTAATGGATGGTAATACATTAGAATTCAATGATATGATATTATTATATACAAAAAAGATTCTGAGTGGAGACATTATTATCAGTCTAGAATAGAAAGCATTATTTCAACCTACTTATCGTGTATATACACAAAAAATTTGATTATAAAATCAATACATTCATCGCCCMACTCAGAATCTAAAGCATGTAAATACTATTATTATTATTATTGAATAAAATTTAATTAAAAATAAATTTACCTTCAGCTAGTTCTAATGATAATCTAGAGACATATAAACAAGAATGTTTTTCTTGTGTCCACTTGTTGCCTTGTGTAGTGAACCGATGAGCACATTGTAAATGGTGTAAAACTTTATCGGCTGTTTCCTTATTTGGTATTGATACAGCATCTTCGAGATGTGCGTACAATTTCCAAATTTCCCCATCATTTTGTACCTAATTATAATTGTATTTAATAAAAATACAGTCTAATAAGAAATTTGAATATTATCTAACATACTTGTGATGTAAGTCTTCCAAAAAGTTGTAGTAAACATTTCCTATGCTCTGATGATGGCCTATCGTTTTCATCTTTAACATTATTCTGAACGGCTTGCACTAGAATTCTTAAAACTTCTAAATCTATGTGCTTGCTTTTTAAATCTAATAATCTATGATAGCATTTGATTGCCTTTGGTTAAAATAATTATTCTTGTTAAAGTATGTATTATAATTATTATTTTAGTTATAGAATTTAAAAGTTATACCTCTTCGAAACAACCGCAATCAACACTGACTACCATTAAATTATCCCAAACCATCCAACTTTCATAATTACATTTTACAGCTTCTTTTAGTGCATAATAAGCTCTTGATTTTTGACCATTTTTAATGTAACATTTTGCTAAATTGTTCCAAGCTTCAAAACACTGAATTTAAAAAAAAAAATGTATTATTCAACTACCAATAAGTTTTTGATTAAAATTTAAACAATATAATACTTAAATATTTTATGTATTACAACAACCAAAAACCGTGGCAAAAAAAACTGTAATTGCTGGTTTCCCCAAATGTAGTAAAATATAATATAACCACTTACAAGCATAGAAAAATATTTAGCTTTAATTATTCTGCTAGTGCAATGTGGTAAAATTTGAAAATTATGTGGATAATAAATAACTAAAGAAATATTTTTCAATCATATTGAAATAATTAGGTAATTCTCAAAAAAAATATTTTGAAATAAGTTATGTATTAAATTGATTTACACTTAAAATGTATTAATATTTTAAAAAATTGTAAAAATTAAGTTTCTTGACTGAAAAATGTATTTTAACGTCAAAATGTGTAAAAAATTTGATTTTATACCATTTTGAATTATTCCAAAAAAAATTAATAATGTTTAAGCAAATTAAAACATAAACAATYAAATGTTAATATTATGTTTGATAAAAAGTTCAAAACTAAATATTTCATTACTCACGTCATTCTCAATGTCGCAGTACCTTCTATATGCTTCTGCAGCTTCTAACCATCGTTCTTCAACCATACATGCAAAACCAAGTCTAAACCATAAGTTCTCTTGTAAAGAATTTATCTTTAGGGAATTTTTGAAGTGATCTATACTCTCTTTATACTATGTGTATAATATATAAAATATAAAACATCTGTCTTAGATCTGGGTAATTTTTTTTACAATTAAACATTTTAAATAAAAATATATCTTACTTCTTTTCTGGTATAATARTAAAATGCCCAATGTTTTTGTGCCCGACTACTTCGATAACCTGAAATTGTCCATGCTTCCTCATAAAGAGATACATCGTCAGTAGCATCTCCGAGCAGACATAATATTAAAATATGTTTAGCTACAGTTAGGTTAGATGATTTTAACTCATTTTTAAGAATTACTGCAGCCTATTATAAATTATATTGATCAATATCAAAATTAAAAATTCTAACAATTAGTTTTACTTTATGTCTATGGCCTTGGGTATTATAACAAGCAACACATTCCTCCCACATGTCTAGAGCTAAAAACCAATCTAATGCACTTTGGATTGCACCAATTGACAGCATTATATTTCCCAAGTATGCTTTGAGTTGCCAAGATGGTGAAACAAAAGAACAATGAAATAGATATAACCTATCAACATTGAGTGGACTTGGCACTTCCAAACTGCTAACTAAATTCTATAAAAAAACCAAATTAAATTTAAAATGTTAACTACAATTGTTGTAAGTATATTTACTTCAATTTGCTGCATTGCTCGTTCCAAAGACTTCCTACTATCCTTTTCTAGTAAAGATCGTTGGAGCAATGTTGAAACATGAATACTCCATACAGATTTTTGTGACACCAAACACTAAAGCATTTAATTAATAAATTATTGTTGTTTTAAAAAATAAATCATAAAAAAATTACTCTTATATATGGCTGCAATTCCTCAAATTGTAGATCATCTTTGGGCTTACACTTTTGTTCCATCATACTTTAAGAAAAATAAAATATTCTTTGATTAAAACATTTTAGGTTATAATAAAAWTTTTTATATTTACAGTGTATTCAAGATGGCTGCTTGTTGAAGACTATTTAATTTAGGAAATTTACCAGCACTTTCATTAGAAAACTTGATATCTGGTAAACGATTTTCATCATCAAGCACACAATCCTATTTAAAATAAAAACAATTTAAATTAATTTTCTTATTATAYTATCCTTATACTATATGGCAGTCGGCAGATACTTACTTTAGGTAAATCACAACACTCATGTGAGGTTAATAGATTAGTATTATTTTCTCTCTCATGAGAATTCACKTTTAGGGTTAATTGGGCAAGTTCTTTAACTTGGAATTTAGTTCTCTTTCCCATCGCACCTATAACAATTAAGTTCTCAAAATAGAACTAAATGATGATAATATTTCAACTCACCAACAAGTGAATGTTCTAAACCCAATAAGTTAATTGCTGTGTTCAAACAGGTTGTGGCTTTCGTAATATTTCCATAGTGAAAAAGATAAATTTTACATTGCTCTATYCTAAATAAAGCTTCTTCATCAGTTTCCAAAACAATATTTTCCATACATTCAAAAGCCACTTCAAACATATTTTTTATATCATTTGATAATTCATTTAATAATGATTGTAGAGTTGAAAGCATTCGTATTTTCCACCAAAATCGTGTCTAAAACAATCAAATAAAAATTTTAATTAAAAAAAAAATGAATGAAAGTTATTAAATTAATAATCAATGAACTGCAGGATTTCTTACAAAACAATTAATCTGATYGTTACTAAAAACTGCATATGAAAATACTAAGAGCTCAGGATACAATACTTTTCTTGATACACAATCTAAATCATTAACTAAGCTTTCTATAACTGCAGTACTTGAACCCCAACTCTTTAAATCTCTAAAAATAACAATAAATAATACAAATATAAAAAAGTGTAATCTAATTAGAGAAAATTTAGCATATGGAATTAATACTAAAATGAACATCTAATCAACACATTTMTGTAAGGTCTAGAACTGAAAAAAATTTTTTTCAGTACAAATATAATATATTTTTTTCTGAAATTATATGTTTAAGAGAAATTGTGATATTTAAATACTAGTCAAGAAAAAATAAATTATCAAAAAGTAATCATATTATTATAGAGTTATTATAAGGGAATATCTATTAGAGATTATTATATCTAAATATGATATGCGAAGAATTTTGAATGTTTCAGGCCTGCTCATGTAGGCTGATGGAGCGCTAGCTAAAGACTGTCTTCCACYAAGTAACCCACWTGCCCACAATTCTACAGAGTATCAAAGCTGCCAGATCAGTGGTGCAACCAAGGGGGGATAAACCCTTAAAGGGGAAGTAAACTTAGAGTATTTCTAAAATGGAACATTTTTAAAATTAATTTTGGAATATAATAATATATTATAAGTATAATACATTTTATTAACCAACTAAATAGTTTTGTTAACAAACCATTATCAGTTATCACATATTGTAATTTTCTCTTATTCTAGTCTGTAATATCCATGGACCGAAAGATCAGCAGTTGTCCAAAACTCCCATGAAGTTTTATCAGATCAACTCTGAAGAAGTAATACAGTGTTTATCGAATTCGAAGCGTTGTTTAGACTTTATTTTATAAATTTATTTCATATTTCATATATTACATTTTATTATTAATAATTAATATGATAACACAAATAAAAATACATTTATTATCAACATGATTATTTATGTAAATATGTTGTAATATAATTTTGGACCCCCCCCTCCCCCGCAAGGGACATTTCTGGTTGCGCTACTGTGCTAGATTATGGAATTTTCAAATGTMTAAATGTCTCTATGAGAATGACTGCTTGGGCTGGGTGATTTGCAGGGTTGCGCTGAATAAACAGATTTTTGAAGGTCTGCAATGTGATATTTTGCTGGACTGAGTAAGAGAGCAATTTATATAAAAATAAATTATACAAGTGATTATACAAAATATTTCTTTTCCGCAATACAATTTTCCTAGAGAACAGATGATTATATTTTTCATGGATATTTATAAAAAATTGTCAAATATGGGTTTATAACTGATCCTTGATAAAACATACAATTTTGATACCAAAGGTCCAGTCCAATTTGCTTGTAAAAACAACTGATAACAAGCAACACCAAAGGTAAAAATTGTATTGTTTCTGAAACAAAAATATAACATTTAATTAACCACAATATACCTATTACAAATGAAAAAAAATAAATATCAATTATAAASTTTCAAATTTTAGTCAAAAATCAATTACAATTAAGTACTTTTATGAAAAATATTGGAATTTTAAATCTGATTTTACTTGAAAATCAGAATACCTGCGGCTTATGTTTGACTTTTTGGCACTGAAAACTAAAAGCTARAATACAGTAATGAACAATTCATTACTGATGAAAATGTAATGTGTGAAACATAATATATAAGCAGCTACTGATTACTGTAGTTGTAAGAGGATGTCATACCTGTATATGCTGTATATCTGTCTTACAAATCCATAGAATAGCAAATTGCACATTCTAAATAAATAATTGAACTTAATTTTAGAGTGAATTGMGTTATTTTTAAAATTAGAATATTATCTAGTCGGCGACATAGGTTTTTTTTATATCTCAATTTTAATGCAAGTTATGAGCATTTAAAATGAACAAACAATATACTATTTTAAAATGCTCATAACTTATTTAAAAAAAGAAAAAATTAAATTAACTTATGCCATCAACTGAATCATATTCTTAATTTTAAAYTTAATAATAGGTCAATTTACTCTAAAATTCAACAAACTAGAGTTATGTATACAGTATGTACAATTTGGGATGTTATTAATTTGTAAAACAGAGACAATGCATGTACCTAAGATGTTCTTAGAATTAAAAAAAAAAAATTTAGAGCAAGGGGTTAAAAAGTAAAGAGGTTAAACATTTTAAATATAATTTACATTTATGCTTTTATTAACTAATCAATTACTACTAACAATAGTGTTAAGCAGAACTACAGAGTTCAATAGAAAACGCCAAGGATTATCCTTATAGACTTTTGTAGAAAGCTTGATAATTTATTATCTGAATTGTTAATTATCTTATTTCAATAATGGAATACACACTTATTTATATACATTTGGTGCTTCTAAWGYAACTTTATAAATGTGTAAGAACAAGCTAGATATGTAGTGTTTTACTGGTGTAACAGGAGAACTAACTGATGCAGTATYTTTTTTTATAATCAATATTACAATTTTTTTTGAYGTACTTTATAAACGTTTGCGCTATAWTTATAGTATGTAAATAGTATATTATATATAAACCTACTTAAGTGGATTTAAAAGTAGGAAATCACTTAAATGTTTTATAATATTTGAACTGAAATTTGCTTTGCTCAAATGTTCAAACTCGTTGTAAAGATCCAAAAACAAATCATCCTCTAAAACTTCAACATAATTGCCCTTAAGAACATTTTTCATTTCATTTGATGTTATATCATCTGAAAAAAATTTAAGGTAATGAAAATCAACTATAAATCTATTTTAATGAAAATAATGTATACCATAATAATTTATACCTGAAACAATTATTTCATTATATAAATTTGAATATGTATTTCCATATATCAGACACTTTTCTGTGTCCGTAAACTTTTCATTAGACATATTATTATATTTCATAGAACTAAATGTTTTGAATATAAAATTAATATACTAATTTGAAAAAAACGTAAAATAAATGAAAATTTATGACGACTCCAAATGGAGAATTTCAAAACAAAAACAATAAACATGCCTTTCAAAATATTAGTGTTAAACACTTAAACCACAGAATAGATTAACATAACCTCAAATTGAACACTGTTATCAGTTATCACCTATTATCACAGTTTTCTCTCTCTTGCCCAAGCACAAGATGACGTCAAGGTAGAAAACGTATTAAAAATTTAAAACGTATTCAGGCAAAATTATTATTTTTATATTTTTGATTTATCTTAAATTTACCYATTACATTAATTATTTAAAATAATATTCTAGATGGTATTAGTTGATAAAAATTTCTATGCTAAAATATATTAAATGAAGCAATTTACTAACAAATTAAGTACAAAAATTGTTTTACTTTTTAAAACAATTAATTATAATAAAATATAAAACCGGTAAGTCGAACATTGAACCATAAAAAATATTTTGTAAAACTACTTAAAACTACCAACTTAACAGGTGACCTTTTCGCATAATTGCAGTTTAGCTCCCCCTCGCCATTTTGAATTTTTTTTATCGAAACTTATGTAACTCATCGAGTTAAGAACGATGGTGCAATCAGAATTGGTCGCTCACTTAGTTTTGAAGTTATGGCCTTCCAAAGTTTTCAATTTTACGTTTATACGTATGCGTGCARTACTACTATAATGCCGCGTGGAGGACCACCATTTTTGTATTTTTTTTGTACTACTAGAACTACTAGAATGCCGCGCATGGCTAGCTGGCAGTTACCCTGTGACCAACTTGAGGTGGTGTTGCACAGCWAGTCGGGGGATATTTTCGATTTGCGGAGCAGAGCGACGGCGCCGAGGAGCGTAGCGACGAGTGCCGCTAGCATGGCATCACTACACGATACTGATCGGTGCCGGTAGGCTGAAGGAGGTCCCTTGAGTTTGGTGACCGGAGCCGATAGACGATGGAATCTATATTATACTTGTGTTACTATAACTAACAAGGTTAAGTTTACTTGTTAGGTCATCCGTCTGCCCGCAGGGCAGGTAAGCTCTCCCCCCCCGCGACCCCCCCAGGTTTGCTATTTAGCCCCGGGGGGTTTGGCGACCGGAGCCGGTAGGCGAAGGGAGCTACTATATATATACACTTATTTATGTAATTGCAAAATAACTTAATATAGCTTATTCTATAATCATAGAGATAATTTAATATGCTATATGCATATTAGTAATAATACCTATACATTGGCTTA